TGCTAAGTCTTGAAGCAAGCAAATGGTCGTGGGAGAAAAGTAAGCGGCTTGGGTATGAAGAACTTCCTTCTTTCATTGCTCGATCTACGTCAGTAGTGTCACTGCTGAGACTGAAACTGTATAGGTGACTCTAAGACTCTAAGGTAGCTAACTTCTTCTACCATGCTTGAAACAAAAGCAAATATGGTGATGGAAATCGCAGCCAAGTTTTTCAAAAAGATAGTTTTTCAATTACATATTCTCCTGTTCAAATTCTTGATCATATTTGATTTTGACAATTTTGACTGATAATTTTTTTCTGTGCTATTACTATTGAAATCATAATGCCACGGAATCAGTGGTGAATGGAGGTTGAACAATACTTTCTAGCCAACCGTGACCGTAAAAAATCCCTAATTTAGCCAGGAATGTGACGATCTTAAGAACTTGAAAGCTTTGGTTGTCAGTCTCCTTGCCTGTCTAATGCCCATTTTGCATTTACTGGGTGGAATCTGACGTGAACTACCTAGCAAAAAAGGATGCAGGGCTTCGCAATTTGAATGGATCAGGTCAGGTTATCATAGCTGCTGTACAGTCACGTGAAACTTTCCGCTCATCTTTTCATCGGAAACCGTTTCAGCAGCCAATTAGTCAGCGTACTGCAGTATCAATGTTCTTGAAACGTGAATGTTAAACAGAGCCGTAGTCAAATATTTGACAATGGTAGGCGAACGAATGAGCTCATCCACTCTCTTGTGCGCATCGGGTCTGCGAAAGCTGCCGTGGATAGGGGATTAATGAGTGACACATTTGCGTCGTTGCAAGACCTCCCAAAATATTACTCTATGGAGTAGTGCTCGTGAACTCTCCAGAACCTCGCTCAAATCCAGGCCGGAGCTGAAGTTCCGACTCTCGTGCGTGCTTCAGTGAAGTCATCGAAATAAGCTGAAGGATATGAATCCAATAATTTTTGTGGCGTGTTAGAGTGACAAGCAAAGATGTTGTCGATTTTCCGAGAATAGCGAGTACCAACTTCTCCTTTCCAAACCAGTGAACCGACACTTAAACTTTCTCAAGGATATTTACATGGGGTGAAGCACTAACAGGCAACTTCAACACCATAGAACTGCTCCGAGGATGAGTCTGAAGATGGCATTGTCAGAGCTACTCAGGAGTTGTTGCCCAAATATTCCTTCGAGAGGGATCCGAAAAAGTTTCGAGCAAGAATGGAGAATTCGAGAAAAGGACCACTGAGAGTATGAATCATTTCCTCTCCGTTACCCATATGATTGATCCAACTATAGACCTTCAAGCCTCCTGGCCTTGGAACAACCAACTATAAATTGTATCAAGTTTCACCTACGCCCTCGGCAAGGCGGTTCCTGATTGATTCCGGTTCTTTCACAAGCGCATTATGATTCCATGATGTTAAGCGCGGACACCTTTCAGCTGTGGTCTCATTACCATCTTCAGCAACACCGAAAACACGAATTTCATCGCATCGCCGCAAAAGTTCACCACGATCACCTAATGCGCTGATTCCCTCGCTGCAAAGCCTCGGCAGAGCCGAACTTAAGATTCTTGGGCCTACGTGAAGACGATATCGTGCGATAACGTGCCACCCTCATCACCGTTACCGTAGAGTATAGCTCTTGATCTCTCTGCGAGTCTAGTACTCGTTGTTGATTTCCTCAAGTTGGCAATGATGACATATGTGAAGAACAATAGGACAAACAGTCTAGAATATTCGCATAGACGAACGGTCGAAACACGAACGAAGAAAAAATTGAGCTACGATGTGAATCATTGAACACCTTATGACTGACTCAGGTGGAACCTCCTTGTCGCGTTAGCTGTGACAAGTAATAAATCTGTGGTCGTTGTAGCTGCTGGCTTCACAAAAATAGAGCGGAATTTCTTTTTTAGTATGGATGTGGTGTAGCGCGAAATAATGCACTACCACATGCATGGTTTCGGGATCGAGTCTCGGATTGATACGTCTCAGGCCAACAGAACTTCCCATCCTTCCGGGGACGGTACCAGACTCGTCTGGGAGGATAAAAGCACTGACTTGCACACCGGTTGGCACCGGAAACCATGTTGGCCAAATACGCGATAAACACATGAATTAGTCGGAAAAGTTACTTTTGTAGTGTATTTGTACGACCTCAGCGGAACGCCTCTCATAAACCATGAAGGTCCATCTTTGCAGAGAACCTCAAGCCATTTCCTTATTCAACCGACAATTTTGAAAGTCCTTACTTTTTTCCGACGTTTCACATGAGCATTGTCAACAATGTCAAGACTTTAGTTCGACGAAGTCCCGTAACAGATAGCAACCACGAAACTAGTTAGGCTCATCATAGCTTCTGAATGACTCACTTTCTATTTTAATGTGACCACGCCTTTAGACATTATTCGAAATGATTTAGTGCGATGTTTTTATATGACTAAATAATTTCGGTAAGGGAGACGCCCAACTCTGGAGACAGATGCAAAAAATTACCGTTCTCTAAACCGCAGAGTGGCAAGAGTTAAAGAGTATACCATATTGCCAACGATATTTGAATCTATAAAGGCCCTAATAGGTGACAAGGAAACGCCCTCGACGGTGACTCACCTAGCACCCGAACAGTTTAATGGCACAGAAGGATGCATACCAGACGCGCTAGGAAGAAAAACGACTCCGAGGTTTATCACCAAGACATAAAGCATGTACGCAAAACGGGACGAAGTCCAGAGTTGAAGTTGCTCATAAGCACGTCGATTTGATCAAATTAAGGAAATCATGCGAGGATATATGCGCCGCGCATTTTGCCAAGCGCATCTCCCCAATGTTGCGTCCCCTCTAGGAACCGATACCATGCCGCCATCTTCCCAACTTTGTCATAGGACCAGGTCAACTCTGTGTACCACGAGTTGTTAGTCAACCTAATGCTGGGAAACTTTCTCGCGATCTCGCAATCATTATGCTTTCAAGTCCAAAAGTTCTATAATGGATGTTGTATTCCTCACTAGACAAATAGTGAAGAAGTATATGAGTGCTCTACTGTTATCTCTCTGTCCAAATTGTGGGGACCTTCAGATTCTCCTGAATAAGGATTCTTCATTACATCAAACGCCCTCGATCAAGTAGGACCTAACACTTTCGATCCGCCAACAATTGGAATCTTGCTATAGCTGGGTGATTCCCAACCAACAGCAAAGAGCAAAGTGAAAGGTGCCTTCTGTCGCTGAACATAACCCCTTCAAAACAATTCAGCAAAAGAATTCAGTAAAAAAAATTATGCCACGATATGACGGTATGATTTTACTCACTTACTATAAGATACGCCTCTTATCCAGCAAACATTCGGAGTTGCTGTGACTACTGAATGAATGTTCGGATTATCCAATCGGCCAGTTTTTGTTCCCAACCAGTACAGTTTTTGAACGACAGGCTTCAAAGAGAAGATTCGACGGGCACAAGTAATACTTGATTTGGGTTCTCATCCGCTAATTGCGGTGGCACCGCTTTCAACCTGTGTTCATCTTTCCATCTTATCATATCACAAATCACGGCGCAATCTTTTAACCATCGATAAATTCCACATAAGCAAGGATTCCAATCCACTTAGACTGGATATTGGTCGCGAGCGAGTACCAAGTGACCTCTAAGTCGATGAGTCTACCCGCCTTTATTTGCATATTTTGCGCGTTACAAAATTCCTTCCCGTTTCAAAGGCCACCGACTTCGACCCGAAGGGAATTAACATTTTCCGTTCGAACCCCCGTGGTGAATGTGCGAATCTCTTCGCTTGAGAAAAATTTTGCTAAGTGGTTTCATGGAGGACTCACCTATGTTCATTTCAGTTCCTGAAAGGGGCACTATATGTTCAGGGGGTACTCTGACCCAGTAACAGATCGTGGTTCCAAACGTTATCCGATATTACTACGAACGCTGCAGTTTCGGGACAAAGTATTTTTTCTGCAGAAATTATAAAACAGAAGACAAAAGTTAAGCACTAATTTTTTACCCGCATGCGTAAGTATACGCCAGATACTAATCTTTGGACCAGAATCGCGGCATGATTTTCTGAAACGACTTGCACGCACGTGCTTCTGAAAAAGTAGTTGTTTTCATCTTTCAATTTAGCTAACTTCTAATTAACGTATCTGAAAAAATATTCGACTTCGCCGATCTAGACCAGACTCGTTATCGCGACCAGGCATGCGTGGTAGCGGCGTCATTTAAAAATGTTTTACATAAGATTTTTTTCCGAACAGTCATTAGTTATAATGGAGATTGAGAAACTATTTACCTCATTAGTAATTTGTTACAGATTAAAGTTTTATTTTTGCTTTTCTCGAGTGCATGGTAACAACCTTATGAACTATGTACGTAACATGCACCACTTTTAAGCAGCGATTTTAACTTGAATATTGAATGTAACATGCACTCAGCAAGAAAAAACCCCCATATATTCAAATTAATAGAGCTTCAATAACATTTTAGATGCAGTGACTTACTTGTTCTATAGAATTTACTCGGTGAAATTTATATTTTATTCGTATGTGGGATAATGACACATCCATCAAATCACTCGTTGCCATATTGGGCAGAGGTGATGTAGCGACAAGGGGCGCACCACCATGGTCAGTGCCGAGAGAATATTACGCGTATCATAGAGGCCCTTCCCTAGATGATGATTCCCATTAACTTCACAGGTTCCCACAGGAACACTTCATTCTCCTAACAACAAGTGAAAAAAATGCTAATGAAAAACCGAAGTTTTCATACAGACAATCGACTCAATCGACTGAATACGTCGGCGAAAAAACCGAGCAAAAAAGGCAGACCAAAAACTGCACTAATGAAGGGATCAGATTGAACAGAGGACCAAAAGTAGCAGAGGGGGATTTCCGAGCGTTGATTGGAGGAAACGTTTCAAGCAAAACTACTCAGCATTGAGCGACTCCGGTTATAAGAAATTGACCAGTCGAGCAGACTCCCTATGGACCTAGTCAGCAGTTCAGCGTTCATGGATCAACCGTTCGCACTTCAAGGAGTTGAACAACAGAGCAATCTATCATTTGGTGCACTCAGGTAGATAAATCGGTTCAACTCAGTGCACGGACGGCTGGAAATATTCATATGAAAATCTAAAATGTTGCTTCCCTCAAGAGAAAAACGTTAAATTTTCTTTATTTGCAGCTTTTATTTCTCATGAGTCATTTTTCGGTGTAGGCCTCCGTTTACATCAGATTCATATCAGTAACGCCTTCGAAAAAGCCAAAAACCTCATAGCCTCACAATTATGTAGGCTGCCACGTCTGCTGGCTGGGGACATACCAAGCTCTGCCGACAACATTTCACTGAACTTACTTCGTGCTTTCCGCCAATACGTATGACGGCCCACACGTGCCGCCTTGTTTTTGGGCAACCGCCTGGCGAGACCCCTGCTGCTAGTGTTTGGAGAACGCATTTCCATATGAAAGCGGCCCTCGTCAGTCCTTGATCATCATTCGAAATGGTCGAATTCCATGCTGTAAAACGAGGAATTGCAATTTATTTTCTGCGGAGGATTTTCATAGAATATTCCAGTAGATGAGGGAAGAGAGGGAAGTCAAGGGGATATTTCATCTCTAATTACATTCTACTCTGCAGTAGCGATGGTGTAACCCTTCATTGATTTCATGTAATTTCACTTTTCTTGCAAAGAGTTTCTTTCACAGGAATAAATGCTCAGAAAGATGTTATGTTACTGAAAGGGAAATTTCTGAAAAAACATAAATAAACGTATTTCAGTAAAAGAACGAAAAGAAATAGGAATTCTCTAGACATAAAAATTTCATTTTTCAGTGGAGAAGGGGACAGTTCAACGGAATCCGAAGAAAACGATCGACCACGTCGATCGCGACGAGGACGAGACTGTAAACGCCTTGCCGTTCATGCCTGTCCTTATGCTGGATGCTTGAAAACGTGGGTGTAACACAAAAATATTGCATCTTTCTTTGAAATTCACTACGCCTTAGATCTTCGAAATTCTAGAAGCATTAATGTGTGCACATGGATATCAGGTTCGAAGTTGACTTAAGGCTAGGTAGGGCTCTCCAGCAGCCATGTATATTTCGAGACAATCTAATCGATCGAGGATCAATCGCAGGCCTTCCCAGATTAAATAGCTGCGATATCCGCATTTACCATTTGAGCCTTTGTAGTGTCTCCATCCTGGCAGTTCTGGTGATTGAGCTGTTTCAAATGTTATGCAACTGCATAATGGATATATGCAATAACTATAGCATCGTAATGAATACAATGATCCAAGGGTAATGCCTCCATCCGGTCATCTGGCGAAAAATTTGCTGGTAATTCAATCATATCCATACGTATGTATATTGACTCCTACTAGTGCACCTGTATCACCTGTCGTCAATGTCACGAGTCGAATAGTGTACTGGATCGTTTTCGCTCTAACAACACAAGGTAGAGCATTTCCTTCGTCTAGAGTTTTCGTGAAGCTTAACCATGCCCTTGCGGCCGCCCTGGTCCTGGTATTCGTTTAGCGTCCCTAGTGATCCAATAATTAACCGCCCCGGTCCCACCATCATCACAAAATCGCTCCCCACCTGATCCTTGATTTCTCGAGCATCGGCTCCTCTGGTCTTAGTCTTGGTGTGAGTCTTAGATGACCCTATCCATTGCCTTTTGAGCTGCAGTAACCATTCCGTCAGGACGACGAAGCGAAGCCACTTGGTCTTGTAATCGGCGGAGCTTTGGCGGCCTCGATCAAACTGCTGCTCTTCTATATTTCATATCTTCCTTTATCTCCTTTATCACTTATCTGCATGCTTCATGAGTTCGCAGGTCCGTGAATGATTGCCTGGAGCTCGCGCGATTTCAGGCTGATGTATAATCTTGAGAGTCTTTCAAGAAAGACGTCTCTTAGCAACTCGTGATCTCCCTGCTTTCTGGCACTGTCGTGAAAACGTGAAAATGTACGACAAGGCGATTGTATTCTCATGAGGGTATTCTCATAAAGTTGTCGATGAGGGGATCTTCCGATAAATTCTCAAGGGAATCGAAGTGATCCCAAATGATTTCTGCATTGAGGCTTCCTTTCCTATACTTTGCGGCTCACTTCACGCATTGAAAAACAGAACCTAATGAGGAGGAGGTGATGATTCGCTCCCAAAGAACTTCGAAATAATAGCAATAAGAATGAGGCGAAACTTTCGATTGATGATGATGTGATCTATTGTATTGGAACTGCCAATCAGATGACTCCCAAGCCAATCGCGAAAGGGCTTCTGGAACTGTGAGTCACTGTGAGCGGGTCAGCATTAAGAATCGGACAGTCTTTGACACTATTCATTTCATTCCATTCATTGAGCCTCATGAGAAGTTCTTCAGTTTCGCTCTGGGGCTAGCCTTGCGCTGAAATCGACAGCGCGAACCTGGAAGAAATTATGTGTTCTCTGTAGAGCTTTCCCAAATAAATTAACCTGCTCCTCTTCTTCTAGCTCAATGTTAATATGAGGTAACAACTCGATGTGATATGATGAGAGATGGCAAACCTTTGAACGAATCGATGTTCATGGCCAATCACGTGTCGACCAGGACATTTACATCTTCTGTCGTCGCATATTCTGGCGGACAGTTTTTCTGGAACATACTAGAGTAAAGCATGTCGCGAGCGATCCCTTCTCGTCCCGGTCCGAGGACGCCTAACTTGATCTTCTTATGTTGCATCATCATATCTTCGAAACGTTCCGATGCAGCTTGAGCTCTTCAGGTTCAGGGAAATGGGGCTTATTTATATCAGTGTTTTTATATAAGGGTACCTACAAATAGCTTGAAAGGCTCAGCAGATTCCAGATAGCTAGCTAGTGGAGTATGTTGTGAAAAAGATTAGTTTTTGGAGGCGACCCTGAATCGCTCCCCAGTTACTTTCCAGTCACGGGCCTGCAATCTTCTGACTGAACTGATGTGAAGGATACCGCGCATATATGCTATCCAAATGCGCATGCATAGGGGCACTTGCAAGGAAACATGGTACATATCGACCCAAAACAGCAGAAACAGGGAGCATTCCCTGAATCCACCTGTTTCTCTGGACAAGTGCCGGTGACTTTTGGTCTGTGACTGATCCCCTTATCTGTATCCTGGCGTCGCGCCAAGTAGCCCCGTCACCAACTGGCTACAAATTCTATGGTGAGCGAGAACCCCTCAACTACGGAGATCTGCAGCTGCTACTAGTTGGGGAAGAGAGCTTGGTTGACTTGCTATGTGACACAACAGCCGTGTCTGTATCGGACCACTGCATTAGCCGGTCTATGGTCTGAGGAAAATACACTGAGATGGTTGTTGCAGTGCAGTGAACACTTGCTCCACACTTTCGTTGTAAGGATTGCTTCCTCGCTGCTCGAACAGCGACTGTACTTCTATCATGCTTCTCAGGCTATTTTGAGAACAACTTAAAACTCAACTGGGCAGCTGTTCTGTGAAATAATTCAAGCTAATATCATATTTTTTCGTCTCTTTTTCAATTACCGAGCATAACTACTGATCTTAGGTATTCGAAAAGCTCCCATCTCAAGGCTCACGTGCGTACTCACAGCGGTGAGAAGCCCTACTGTTGTTCATGGGAAGGATGCGAATGGAAATTTGCTCGCAGTGATGAACTCACAAGGTACGACTATGGTCATCAACATTCAGTTTCATAAAACAGCCAACAGTCAGTCAAGCGTGGCGATTGTAAACCTATCTTTCAGGCACAAACGGAAACATACTGGCGATCGGCCATTCCAATGCAGCTTATGCGATCGTGCATTTTCTCGTTCCGACCATCTCAGTCTTCATATGAAACGACACAACGTCGCTTGAATTCTATCCTACTCTGCTGTAACTGTCAATGAGTGGCATGAGGTTGCACTAGTTGATACTTCAAAGCTCCTCAATGGATGATCCATCCCATCGCTACATTGCGCCATAGTTACACAAAATCGAATAATTTAAAATACCTTCCGGTACTCTTTGTAAGGAGATGCGAAAAATTCCTGCGTTTAGTCGCGAACAGGCTTGACCATAAGCACTGCTAATATNCCCAGACATCTTGTCTGTGGTTGGATAAATAATGCAAAAGGAAGTTGCACTTTGAATGCGTTAACACGGACGCTCTGTTTGAGCAGCACCAAGTGCTGAAAATAAATCCCAATTAAAGGGAAAGCGATCATTGCAAGAGCGACTGCTGTACCCCCAAGTATTGCTGCATGTTAACACACATCTAAGTTAGTCCCGTTTACGTTTCCCATTACGGATAAATCTGCCCACTAATAACCGGTTTGTTATATTGGAAAGGAAAATCTTCATCTGTACATATTCGCATTGTAAACCGTTTCACGTAGTTACCAGTGTTTTCCGTTCACTTGTTCAAATGAGTGCGTTCATTCCATACACTATATGCTCTTACATTGTTTGCCCAATAACCAGCCTTTAATATGTTGCTCTTCATAGGGTTGATTATTGCATTTCCCAGTTCGTTAGAACTCACAAATTTTCAGAAACGGGTTCCCTCGTTCAGGAGCCCACTTTTCGTTTTTGTACATTGTTTTTGGTCGTGCTCAACTTGTGAGCGGATCTCCTAAGTATACACTCTTAGCTTCTGGTAGGCTGTCGCTAAGATGTCGCCCACAGGCTTAGTGCGATCACTGCCTTTGAGCGTCTTCATTGAATGCCCATCCAGTTGTTAGTGTGACCAGTGACTTGATTCACCAAATACGAGCCCACTCTATTCTCCCAGGTTGACGTCGTTTCTCGGCGGTTAGCGCGGTTTTCACATCTTGCCTTGCTTTATTGTGATTTCTCATCCATACAGGTTGTCAAAGTAGTATATAGCTTCAACTGTTCATTTTCGCACTACTGGATCCATATCTTGTAATCGTGTGTTCATTGACCCTTGATGCTCATTCAATAAATCTTTTCCAAAAAATCAAGTTCGAAAACAAAATGAAAAAATGTGCCACGAATCCACTGACACTCAAGGTCTTTGAGATATTCGACTGCGCGTAGAGCCGCTACGACTTGCAGAAGAGCCTTCGCTAATCACTAATCGGGGATGATTTCCTCCCAAAGTTAGAAGGATTGGTTTGATTCATGAATTACATTCTTTACTCTACACTCGAAATGCGAATCTCCATCGACCGAACAATCCCCACTAGTGCGAAGTTGGTGGAGACTTGAGTAAAGAACGTCCAGCTGGTCCTATTTTGTGTAAGGGTTATTATTATAATGGTAAAGCATAGTTTACCACATGTTTGTTCTTTAGATAACCTAAACCTAAGTTCTGAGGGAGTAATTAGTACCGTATTCTCAAAACGTTACGAAATCAACTAACCTTCCGAAAATCTCACGATTAGGCTTTCCTGTAAAAAATCCACCTCGCACATGCCACGGCAGATGACTTACCATTTGCCTTCGTGACAAAAAGCAAGCAGATCGTCTGAAAAGGGCAAGGACTGATTTGGATTTTTTCCAAAACAATGCTTGAGCACGACCCACAGGGCCGGCTGTGGCCAAAAACAGTCAAAAGAATGAAGCAGAACAGACTTACCTGAAGCCATGTATATATCCACGACCGGTTGCAAATTCATAGGGTTCTCCAATCATATGTGATTCGGAAAAAGACAAGAAGCAGTCACGAAGGCGCATTTCACTCTGAATCGCAGTGGCACTTCGGGTGTTACTTGTTTTACCAAAGCACGAGCCCAGAACTTCCAAGGCAAGATTTCTGCCCATCTGTGCGAGAAGAAAAGTTTTTATATCGTTTATTCCAAAAAAAAGTGAACTATTATAAGAGAAAACGGAAATAAATTCAGGGAAAATTTCTCAGAGAAGGTTTTTACAAGAAATAAATTATAGTCACAGCATGAGAAACGTGCCAACAGTACATAAATGCATAACAAAGGTAAAGTTGCTACATCACTTGGTCGGTGTAGTGCCAGACGCATTCGCGCGGTCCGTTTCCTCTGCAACGATCCTTGGAAACACGGCGATAAGAGGATTGCCGAAATTCGAGTTATTTGGGACAAATGTTGTTGGATAATGTTGTGTCTCCACTGCAGTGAACAGACTGAGACTACGTTGATCCGTACACTGCTGCGCCAACGGTTCTCGGTTAGCACGACTCGACATGGAAGAGCTATAAAATGGTAATGAAGAAGTCCAAGCAGAAATTTCTAGCCTCGCTTACGACATACGAGAACAAAATCAATTTAAACAATAGAATAAAACAGATGGCTGTACGAACTTATTTTTCAGCATCATTTGTCGCGATTTGTTGACCTCATCGAGGATCATGGCTGAATCGGTTTTCTGTAAAACAACGGTTATTAAAAAACTAGTACGATACTAGGCCAAGTCGAGCACATGATTTCGAGGTTTGGAACTGCCAGTGTATTATCACGTTTCTTATTAAACCACTGTTAGGACTGCCGGTGAAAATGGAACTAAAAAGAGCCATTTTCATCCAACCATTTTCGAATGACGTTGTTGTCAACAAAAATAGAAGGACAAGCGAACCAAGGAGTTGTTACAGGTGGAGCTTGTGAAAGGAAGGAGATTTTTTTGCATTTCTGCGAAACATTAGCGGTAGATGAAGAATTGTCTGATGCTGCCAGAGGTGCCAAAATAATGCCAGCCCCTGTAAGGTTTTCCACTATTCCATGAATAGCGTTGCCAGAAGGACGTTCTTAATCTCCACCAAGAAATTTCACTGAAAAAGAGAATGAATCTTCCAAAAAAGTTCAGAGACTCAAAGAGCACACGTTCGACACTTCAGTAATTTAGTTTTTGACGCTTCTGACAAACACATGAATTTTTCAAGTTTTGACTCTCGTTGGAAAAAAGGTTCATTGATGAAACAGAAAAGAAGTGTGGGTGTTTTTTGATAGGGGAATTTTTAGCAGTATTTAGCAGAGAGAACGGCATTTTCAAAAAATTAAACAGAACTTATTTGGCCATCCGGATCTCTAACCCTATGCGTCTTATCCGGCCTGACTAGTGGCTTAGGAACTTCGGAGCGAAATTGGTGTCAAAAACTTTGCAGATCTTCGAAAAGGACTCAGCGCAAGATTGGAGTAAATGGAAAAGACAGGAGATTGGAACCTATCGATTGCCAATTTAGATGTTCGTAAAATAGAAAAGGGGAAGAAAAAAGGAAAACTGTCTCATACCACACAATTTTACCAGAGGGTTCATTAACTAATTTAGCAGTAAGTAGTTTGTACTGTTGCGACACAACAACTAACCAAAAGTTTTGATGAATATCCAGCTTCCGGAAATGATGCTCAAGGAAACTCATCAAAAATCAGTGCCCGAATTCAAATTGCCACTAATATCTGAATTCGGATAAACTGACGGACGAGTTTTGCGCCACAGTTGTTTAGCATTGCACCCTAACTGCACATTGTTCTTGGAAGGGCCTCAGCGTCTCTTCCATGGTTTGATTTTTGTGCTGCCAATTCACTATGTATTTTTTGTTAACAGATCGCTATTGTGTATGGGAATGGGAATCTGGCAAAATAGGAGAAATAAAGGGAGCAGCTGGCGTTGGAGTTTTCGCTTTGCTGTTGTAATCAATGCGAAGTGAGGGGGTTTTGAATACTCATTAAGAGGATGTGATTTTCTCTAATCTGAAAGCTTCTGTACTTGAAAGTAGTCCATCCATTTTCAGGGTAGATAAATCATAAAAAGTCATAACACAACCGTTCGCAAAAAAGACGCAGAGGTAAAAGCTACTATGACAGTTTGGGAAGCCATTTTATTTGCAAACCTTCCAAAGAAAAGAAATTGAGTTAGAAGGTGATCTTGCATTTGCCTTTGTCTTCTCTTTCCCAAACTGTTCTGAACACAAGTCCCATCAGGTGTTGCAGAACATTTCAACAGTGCAATCAACTGCTGGCATATCCAACACAAAGACCATCTTACTATGATAATAGAAGCAAGTAAATCCGTTAGCATATATCTGCTTAAAAAGCACAGTCTGCGAGAAACGCAACTACAGTGGACTACCCAGTTGGAGAGCAACCAAGTTTTTTGTACCAAAACCGCTTCATGGATGACTGTTTTTACGATTTAGAAGGACTGAAAAATGTAGTCACTGTATAGAAAGAGTGTATAGACGGAGTGCTACCTACAAAAAAAAGCAGTTTTATAAGGTGAAGATGTATTTGGGGAGGTGGGGCAGCGCCCTTTTGAATCACCGAAGGCTAAAACGCAGAGGAAGAGCGGTAGCAGACCTTAATTGTTCCTAGAGATGCTAAAAGCCTTGTCTAAATAATCTTGTTTTTATCTGAATTTAAGAAGGGGAGGAGCTCCGGGGTGGGTGAGATTATTATCTCATGAAAAAGCTGCGTAAGGATAAGAATTGAACAGTAAGAGACCACTTAATTTTTCAATTTGAAATTGGTAGATCCCCTAAAATGGCTCTTAGAAGCTCGAAAACGAATATCTGACGTTTCTTTTTTCAAAAATATGGGTAGGTGGCTGCTGAGCAGTAGTTTTCGTTCCCTTTTGTCAATGCTTCCTTCGTTACGAAAAAAACATCAATGAGAAATTGGACCAGATTACCAACCTACAATGTGTTTCCCTTGCTACTTGTGTGCTCAAGAATGCAACTGAAGTCGTTCTTTCACCTTCCTTTCGTCTAATACGTTCGCTGATGTATGGAAGTAACTATATTTCCAAAACGACCGACGCATAATCGTTGAAAAGCCGAATTCAAAACCACGTCGAAGAGAACTATGGCCCATTCGTACAACGAACAACTCGCAAAAACTAGAAAGTTACATCACAGAGCTAGATAACTTTTGCAGAAGTTTACCAGCGGAGAAATTTTGCGATAAAGTTATAAATAAACACTTCATAGACCTCAGGAAAATTCAAAGTTACTGATCCCTAAGCACCCTTAATGAAGATCAACACCAAATGTTTTTGAGAAACTACAGTCCGTCACAGAATTGAAATCCCTCCAGCCCCTTTGGTTTGACATCCAGCAGACCCATGTTAGCCGAGAAAATAAAAGCCAATCTCCTAAGGTTTCGAGGAAGAAGCGCACTTATGCACGACTAGTTATATCAGGAACAACACATGAAGGAAATTCTATCGACGAAACAGCTGATACCTACCATTTTGAATATGGCGGGCAACGTATCATTCCACACAAGACCCACAAAGTGCGCGTCGACTACGTAAGCATGGGAAAGTGCTCGATAATCTTGCGGCATTGCAGCGGTGCCTGCTGACTCTTCCAGCTTTCCTTTTTGGACTCTGTTTTATTTATGTTCTTTTGATGCTTTGATGATAAGGGTCGTTCAATTGATTGCGCAACATTGAATTTCCATGACGTATGCTGTGCATTTGGAGTTACTTTGAACGCTTTAGGGTCCTGTTAGCATGGGCTTGTAGCTTGGAAGTATTTCAAAGAAAAGATCAAGGAGCCTTGCAATCGCTTGCTAATTATTTCATCGAGCAATCATGGTTGAGTACGGTTGTAATGTCGCTAACAAATTCGGCTTTATGTCCGACGATGACGGTGAGTAAATTGCGTTAAATAGTGCTTCAATATCGTGCATTCTTTGCATGTACTAGTGAAACTTTGTTACGGGAAATTCATGTGCTTGGTCCTTTTTCAGAGTTTGACGACCCACAAGAGCTGATCAGTCGTGTCACCCAGTTAGAGGCAGAGAAAGCAGCAGCTCAGAAGAAAGCCGAAAAACTTGCCAAACAGGCAGCTGTGGCTCCGAAGGAACCTGTAAAGGCTGCTGGTGAGTTTTTTCCTCATTATGTATCATTTGGATGTTTGTTTCGAAAATTGAGCGTCGGATCTGTTTCGCTTAATGTTGTTTACGGACCCTGACATTTGCTGGATTCAAGCTACTCCATTTCCAGTTTCATCATATAATTGTGTTTTGGGCCAGAAAACGTAAGAAGTTGCTGTAACGTATTCTCTGTACAACAAAAGAAAACTGGAGAAAGTGACTTTTGAGATGATTTCTGATGGAGTGTTTTCATCGTGGTTAAGCTCATAAATCATTGAATCCTCAAGTCAGCTGAAAGTTTTCAATCCTTGCTTTTTCTTGACTACATCAGCTTGGGTGAGGTTTTCCGGCATTGCCACAAGGAGGCAAATGCTGTAACATGTATATTTCTTTATAACTTGTCTAGTCGTCATCTGTTGTAAAGACTTTTTCTCCGATTGTTTTTCTTGAAAAAAATTTCACAACCTTGCCGGATAGTCTACGGTGAAAATGTCTCCAAATCTCTGTATCAGAGTCCTACGTGAGACGTACTTGATTGCGGCTTCAGTGGAATCTCCAATTTCTCAATAATGGGAGATTATTTCAATGCAAAAAGTTTTGATTAATCTGCTTTGATGTTTTTTTTTAGTGTCGCTTGAGATGAGCCAACTGTTAAAGGATGCTCTTTTGCTATGTTTTCAAAACGGTTTCCATAGGAACGGTCAAGACTTCCCTGCCCCCTACACTTTGAAGTGGCCGGAATCGCTCATTCGTTTTTTTCTTGAAATGTTGAGTTGAGGTTTTCCCTAGTCAAGGAAAGAGTGTCTCCGAGATTGCCTTCCTTTTTGGTAATGTCACGTTGAGTGCTCAAGCATAAATCCATTGTGCAATCGTGCACTTCACGTGTCTCTCAGAAATGCAACAACAACTTCTCCTTGTTCACTTGAACGGCGCTGAATGTGGTTTACTCGTTCTTCGCAAATCTTAAAATTGTTCAGAAATTGCATTGTAAACATTTATCCTCCTCGCATGCAGAGAATGCGTTCTAAATGCAGCTTGTTCCTTTTCGTCTTCATTCTTCTGCTATGGGTATCTGCATGTAANGTATATGAAAAAGGCCAGCCTTCAAAGGTTGAAGAATTATGCTGCAGAATTTTGGCAAAATCTCTGTGATTCTTCAAATGGACGAGGGAAGCTCGTACGCTGGAAGGGAAGGCGTTCTAAAATAGTGTTATCACTCGTAGCATCTTCTGAGTGGTTCATGATTGTTATGGTCATTATAAGTACCTGGAAGTCATTTTGTTCGTGATCGGTTGAGGGGACTGAAGCTTGCTAGTGCGTGTAAGCATGAAACTTAAGAGCTAATCAGCCTCCTGTCATTACTTGACTTGGATTAATAAAGCTACTTGGGAATTTTTTTTTCTTGTTTTGATCTCAGCTGAGTTGTTGGAGGAAGGAATTCGCGCTAAGTGAGTGCGAAGCGATGTGGATTCCCTTATTTACTTCATTTCTTCGATTAGTTCCTTACTAATTTTTAATCCACTTTGTTGACTTCCTGATGAAGTTTGCCTTCAGTTTTTTTTTTGTTTTCTTAGTTGTTCTGCCATTTCACATTCCGAATGATCAAGTGTTCTTTCACCAAGGAGTTATATTTTCAGTAGGAAAGGAAAACAGTAAGCCAGCCAGTGGAGAACGTGGTCGCGGTGGCAGAGGTCGTGGTCGTGGGACGGGCGGTCCCCGCCCTCCACGTTCAGAAGGAGAATTTGCTGACCGTTTTGGAGAAACCCGTGGAGGACGAGGAGGTGGTCCACGAGGGGGAGGGCGTGGTCGTGGTGCTCCTTTGTATGTATTTTCTTTCTATACTTTGTGCTCTTAATTCGGTTAGATGCTATTATGTCACATATTCAGCCGAGGGCGTGGTGGAGCTGCCAACAATTTCGCAGATGCTCCAAAGGACGTTCAAAACACTGGGGATGATGTTCCTGCTGAAGTTCCACCTGCCGAGTTCTATGGTGCGTTTTGTGGACATAATTAAGTATTTAGTTGCTGCTGTGGATGAGTTTGTAATCATGGTGAGAGCCTTTCAAATTGAATTGAGTTCCATGAAATGACTTTCGGAACTGTGAGT